AAGCATGCATGTATGTTCCTACAAACTAAGCCTGGTTCTTACTGAGGGGTGTGTCATATCTCATTACAGAAGTCCTTAAACTGCCATGAAGCATATTAAGGCAGAAATATAGCCAACCAAATATTTTTAAAAGAAGTAAAATCCTGCAGGGATTGTCCCAAAATCCATATTATTTGAAAATCTATTGACTGCACAATCTAGTTACTACAAAGTACTTATGATACATAGGCAGCACAAATCCCACTGCAACCAAGACACGCTATCATTTGTACTCCTTTTCTGTGATCTACCCCACAGAATTGATGTCTGTGAAAGTGCTTATAGCAGTGGGAGGGGCAGAAAACTGCCATTTATCTGTAAGCGTTTGTTATTTAAAGGTCTTACCTCACATGGTATTCTTGTTGGTAACACCAGTACTGATGGTCTGTTAATTTCCACTGTTTCAGAAGCCACATCAGTTTCCAAATTCACATTTTTTTGTCCTAATGCTATTACATCCAAAGTGTTACTATAAGAATTATCTTGATAATCTGCAAAAGATCAAATTGAATACAACATATTGTTAATCATCTTACAGAAGTGAAATGGGATGGCCTACAGACTGCTAGATGCCAATGATTTATGAAATGCTGTTGATTACATGGCATTTCGCAGCCGAATAAAGGACACTGAGTGATATCTGGGCTCTAGTGAAATCAATGGCAAAATTCCCATTGACTTCAAGTAGATCAGTATTGCATCCACTAAAGAGCCTACAGGCTAAAGGCCTGATTCTGCAGCAGTTACCTATATCAGGTAGAAGGCAGTGTAGAGATGTACTTTACAGACTAACTAAATCTGAGATTCATAAACTTTCATGAGCCTGAGCTCACTTAATTAGATGCTCTGAAAGGACAGGCACAGAGCAGTCGATCAAATAGAGTGATCTGAATGGAAAAGACAGAGAGTGAGGGAGGTAAGGCAGAAGGGGAGGGGAGGAGAAGGGACAGTGCTGGGGGAAGCAAACAAGTAATATAAACAAATAATAAATATATAAAACAAAAACAAAGCAAACAAAAGAGTATGCATCTCTGATTTAGTCTATAACATACATCTCTACCCTACTGCATGTGGCACAGGAGGTCTGGGGCATGGGCTGCATGCACTGCCCCAAACTGACTCCCTGTGCTGCCAGCATCATGTGTGGCACCAGGTCCAGCCCATGCGTCATGGGCAGCACATGGGGCCACTGTCAGTGCATGAGATTAGTCTATCAACTTATAAGATGGTTCATGTGCTTTCATGAGGCAGATTTGGCCTGCAGACCATATGTTGGACACCTCTACTCTAAAGTCAAAGGTATGTGATTCAGTTTAAAATCAGGATTTACTCTGAATATAACTACTGAAGGTCAGGCATCAGTTTAGCTCCAATAACGCAAGTCTCTCATGTGCAAATAGCATAAGATCTATTGTATTAACTCAAATCTGAGTCAACCCTAAATTTAAGAGAACCCCCCAAAAATTAGATTCTATATATGGAAAATGTATAGATTCATTATAATTTTCCAGATATAGGATCTAATTATTGGATGGCTGTCTTGAATTTATCATCTTCCCACCCCTACCCTGACTACAGAAGAGAAAGCAGTGGCTGGGATGGTCAGGTCCCCCCTTGCCCTCTTCTCCCCGCAACTTATTCCCCTTCCTGCCCCCCCCACCCCCCCCCCCCTCCTCCCCCCCCACTGCCTTCCTGCCCCCCTCATTTCCCACAGCTTCTACCCCTCCCCACTACTCCCCACAATCTCTGTCCTTTTTCCCAAGTCCCTAGTCTCTGCCTCTGCCCCACTCTGCACTTACTGTCAGAGGCAGTGGGCTCAGCTCCCTCCTGGAGTACAGCACATGGAAGCACAGCCCCTGCCGGCCATGCAGCAGTGTCAGCTCTGCTGACTGGCCAGATAGGGGACAATTTCCATGTACTCTGCGCTCAGACTCAAGCCAAGTTGCGCATGACAGTAAGGGGGAGGAGGGGGGTGGGATGCGCAGGAGGCAGAATCTGTACAGGGCAAGCAGTGAGGGCAGGCAGCTGCTATGGGTCTGATTGGCTCAGGGCCAGTGTCAGAGAGACAGCAGCCATTTGCTCCCCCTGCTTTGTATGTGAATCTAAGACAAGGGGCTTTACCTCAGTGCTAGCTGGGGGGAAACTCCTCATCTGAGATTCTAGTAAATACAGTAAAAAACTGTGGTTTTCACTACTGCAGCTTTTCCTTATTTCAAGCAATGCTGAGTTATACTATTGCAAATTGCAGCTCTACTTGGATGTACTCAGGGCCAATCCCTGCCAAAGACAGAGGCTTCATCTTAGTCCCTACCTTAGACACGTAACAGAAATAATGAGGAATGGAACAAATGTTCTGTGATTTTGTCATTCACATGCAAAAAGCTAAACTCTTAGCATCTTATTCATGTATTTTATCTGTACAAAAGAATATTTTGAGCTAAATATAAGATGCCAGCCAATTTAATTTGCTATATAATTTACAGTTCTTTGTTTCTTCTCTATTTCACCATACCAGTATAGACTCAACAACCGTAGCATGAGCCACTCACCAAATCACAGACTTTTAAATAAGAAAATAGAATAGAATAGAATTGGCAACTGCATCTGCAGAACTATGATTGAAGCTGTGTTTTCGAGAAAGCTATTCTTCACACCTGCTACACCTCAGCTTTATCAATGGTAAAGCTGCCTCTGCTACTCCACTGACCCTGCACACTCCGCTGACTAGGTCTTACATTGTAAAAAACACCAAACAAAACATTCTCTCCACCCCATCTCAGAATTCTAGCATTGCCTCATCATGCAGAATTACCCAATATTCCGCAGTCACCCAGTTAAATTAACAATATCATCTTAGGAAGCTCACAGACTGCTTGAAGAATACTGCCTGGGTGATGAGGGAAAAATCATAGGAGGTAGTAACAGCATCTTGTATTACTGTAAATTACAGAACACTCACAGTCAATTACATTCAAGGACACAGTCAAGTTTCAGGCACATCTTTTCCTCTAAAATGTATGTCACCTTCTGATGTAGAATATTGGTGTAAATTACTGATGGGCAGAACACAATGCTATGTCACCAAAATGACCTGTTATTGCTATATAAATACTGATGTCAATTATGGGAAGTAAATTTTGAGGGAAACAAATAATAACTTTAAAAGTTGAGACAGTGGCTCAATAACCGCAATGTAATTATTTTTATTATTTCAAATGACTAATACATATTGAATCATTCTCTTACAATAAGCGTCTTTATGATACTCAACTTGAGCATAATCTCCCCATAGTCCTCATATACAGACTGAAACCCCAGGCCTGAACCAAGAAACTTCCTTGTGGAAGTTTTCCCTAAGCCAACACACTGCAGATATTACAAAACTGAGGGCACTGAAGCTCCTTTAGCTGCTGCATCCCTATTCTATAAAAAGTGACTCTTCTAAAAGGAGAAGACTGACATAAATGTGGATCCATGAGCCCAATCCCTGAGCCTCTCACACCCATTTCTTTTCCTAGTCCTCACAATGTGCCATGGCACGCACTAGTTAAGGGACCCCCGTAATCAACACCAGCAAACTTCTGCACAATGAATACATTTCACACAAGCCTCTGGCTAGAGGAAAAAGTGTAGGATTTTGAGCGTACTGTCACAGATCCAAAGCATGCCGGCTGACACAAAGAACAGCAACTAAGAAACTGCTTATTCATACATGCTAAAGTTTGATAACTGGAGGGTCTACGTTTATATTAACTTATATTGCAGCTAACTGATTCTTGTGCTAGTATGAAAGTGGACTTCTATAATCCAATACCTAATGAAAGTAGTCCTCTGAAGGGAGGAGACACCAGGCAAGCTGCTTATGCTAAGGCTACAAATGTTGTTGACTGATGAGGGAGATTATTGGAAAATCTTCCTAAATTAAAAATGTCATAGAGAGATACTCGGAGAACTTCCAGAAACAACACCCAGTTATGAGGAGACTTGGAAAGTTGGCTATCATTGGACAATACAAATCACGCCATAGCAATATAGACCAGTATGTATTACCACTATCACTAGGGTCTTAGCTACACAGCGAGTAGAGGGGCTGACATATAGCATCTTCTAGAGCACGAATGTCAAACTCATTCAACCCCACGGGCTGGATGAGTAGAGTATGACTACCCATGGACCAGATGAATAGCACAGAGATGGTCCACAGGTCAAATCCAGAGCACAGAGCCATGTCATCTGGTCCAAGGGGATACCTATTGGGGTCAGAAATTTGGCAGTGCAGTAAATGGTGGCAGCACGGACTGCTGTGACTCCCCGAGTCCCAGTGCTTAGGGAGACCCTCAGGTTGGGCAAGACTGGCTGAACCAGCTTGCCTTCACCCAACATGTACCAGAAGTCTGCATGCAACAGTTGCAGGCCAAAAAGCAATCCCCCAGTCCCAGGCAGCATATACCACCACAAGAATACCCAGCACTGGTATGAGGAGGCACAATGGCTGTGGGAGGAGGCTGCTGCCTATCCAGTGGAGTTCTGTGCCCTTCTCCCATTACCCAAAAGGTACAGTGGGGATCAGTAGCACTTCAGGGGACTTCTTATTCAATGCTGTCTGCTGTTCCCAGCTGAACATGAAACCTACTCCAGGACCAAGCCAAGATGACCTCCTCATAAGTCTCCTGGCAAGGGATGAATTGGCTTTCCTGATGGTGGTGCATGACAGCCCAGTCCTCCAAGAGAAGGCCATTCCTTCAAGAATTCTTGACGTCTGATGACACTCACCAGGCCCGGGCAGTGGAAGTTAAGGAACTTTTGCAAGGGGCAGGATACTGCTGTCACCTATACATCTCTTTTCCACTACTCCAGCAGACACCCACCTCTACTAATTCCAGTGGGCACTGGGAGAAGAAGCAAATATGAACTGGCACAAGTGTAACTGCTGTCAGGGTTTGATGCCTTCATGGTCCTGGCAGTTCAAACTAACTATTATCTCCAGGAATGGAGGGAGGAAAAAAGTTGTGCCCACTGACCCATGTAAAGAAACAAGGGACACAAGCCACCCTCAGCCTGATAAGGTGGGCGAGGGGAGTGGCTTGGGATCAATGCAAACTCCCTTCACCCTCCCAATAATGGAAACCTGGAGTAAACCTGACCCTCAGAACCCTCAGATGTATGTCTAGCTTCTAGTCCCAGGTCAAATCCATCTTCTTCCAGTCCTGGTTGCCCTACTGGACTTTGGGGTAGTGGTCATTTCACCAATGAGATTGTGGACTGTGCCCTCTGAATTCCATTACAGCAGCAGCCCAGGCCAGAGATACTTGAGATTACAAATAGCTCACCCTCTTCCATCCACCCTTCCAGACTGGGACACCACTACCCTAAAGGAGAATATCAATGGCCACCCTGAGATGCCGTGCTTTCGGGCAATCCATTGTCCACATTATCCCTTGATTCTGGGGCTTCCTTGGCTCATTTGCTATAACCCCCTAGTCAAGTGGAA